CTTATTTGGTTTTGGTAATTAAGTGACAACCTAGGTAGACTAATTGTGTTTGATGTGAGATACACAGAAAATTAGTCCACAGGTACATGTGTGTGAGCAACATATGTCATGGTGGTGAAAATGGCTCGGAGATGTTGCAAAGCTCACACATGTGATGAAGAAGCTCATTGCATATGAGACATGACATGGAGTCATGTGACTAAGGTGGAGAAGATCAAGACAAGGCTTGGCTTGATGGACCAGTTGCAAGCATGAAGGGCAAGTTGGAGGCTTTGGAGCGATGGACCATGTGGTGGTGAAGCTTGAGCAAAGACTTGGCACCGATGGACCGATGCAATGGTGAAGAGCAAGTGAGGTCAAGATCGATGAACCAATAAGGTCACATGATGATATAAAGTGGATCATATCATTGTTGATCATGTTGGTGCATGTGTTGCATCGACATTGGAGGAGATGGAACGGAAAGCGCAAGGCAAAGGTATAGCCTATAGGGCATTTCATTTCACCGGTCATAGGTGTGTAGATAAGTTTATGACCGAGTTTAGGATAGATAGCCATACTATCAAGAGGGGCAAACTTGTTTGCATATCGGTCATCTAGTGCCACTTGAGTGATTTAACTTTGCGATGTTGCTAGGATCGAGTGGCGTGGTAAATTGAGTGACTAATCCTTTGAAAAATGTTTGTGAAAATGTTAACACACTTGCACTTGGTGGTATACACTTAGTGGTGTTGGCACATTTGCAAAGGAGAAAAGGTTGGAGTTGTTGTGGATCAACTTAGAGAAGAGAAAAAGTTTTTTCGGTGTACTCCGAACTATAGGATGGTCCTTGGATTGGAATACTGTTTTGATCCATTGTGATTTGGATTAAGTATGCATGTGGGATGTGTATACCTCTGAGTAAGCTTTCCAAAATGTCCAAGATCATCGAAATCGGAGTTCTAAGCTAAGAGTTATAGCCGTTTTAGCACTGAAAGGTCTATGACCGGACTCTACGATGTGCGCGTCCGGTCAGCACCTGCGAGTCCGGTCATAGAGTCTAGTCAGTGTTTTTAACACGTCTAGGAGCGACTGGACGCATGGAGAGTCCGGTCAGTGATGACCTAACGCGTCCGGTCATCAAAAGAGCTCTCTGGAACCTCTCTAGAAGTGACCGGACGCTGATAGAGTCGAGTCCGGTCATAGGATAAAGGTGAGTCCGGTCAGTTGTGCAGAAATGCGTTGGTAACCAGACTCGGCCTTGGCGCGTCCGATCGTTGGACATAAGCGCGTCCGGTCAAGAGTATGAGCGCGCGAGAACTAGCCGTTGAAGCCCAACGGTCGGCTTCGAAAGGAGGGGACGCGTGGCGTCATCCTAGCGACCAGACTCTGTGACCTGCGCGTCCGGACGTTATGACCTGTGAGTCCGGTTAGTACGAAAAGTGCCTAGTGAAGGGGTACAACGGCTCTATTTTCTTGGGGGCTATAAAACCAAGCATTGGCCAGCCTTGGGCTGGTTGCTGAGCACACTAGAGCCTTGGTGGCTTATGTGGTAGTGCTTGGGAGCCGTCTAACTCACTTGAGCTTGATAATGTCCATCCGATTGAGTATGTGAGCGATTCTAGTGCGATTGCATTGTGAGGTTGTATCGAGTGGCGCTAGGTGGTCGTCTTGCAAGCCGGTGGTGCTTGTTACTCTTGGAGGTTGCCACCTCCTAAATGGCTTGGTGGTGGTCTCCATCGAAGCCCGCAAGAAGCTTGTGCGGTTCTCCAAAGAAGAGCTTTGTGAGGGGCATCGTACTCGCCCCGCGGGAGCCACGAAGAAGAACTCTAACTGAGCGTGTCATTGAGCTACCCTGACTTTCGGGGTAGGTTCTTGCGGTGCTCAACGTGCGGGCTTGGCGGGTGATGCCAATAGCCGCCGAACCACCAAGTGAGCGGTCGACACAACAGGGACGTAGTGTGTTGGCAAGCACGTGAACCTCGGGAGAAAATCACCATGTCAACATTGTTCTTCCCATTGGTTTGCAATCCCCTTACACAAGCTTGTAATTACTTTCATATACATTGTGCTTGTGTAGTTGCTCTTGTAATTAGTTAGCTTGTGTAGCTCACTAGTTATCTTCTTGCTTGTGTAGCATAGAAGTAGCTCTCTTGCGTGTCTCATTTGGTTTGTGTAACCTTGTTAGTCACATTGCTTAGTTTGTGTAGCTAAGTATTTGCGCTCTCTAATTTGGCATTGGTTGCCTTATTATTGAGCATTACCAGTGAGCTTAGGAGCTTTGTGCTTTTGCTTACTAGAATTGTGTAGGAGTTCTCCAGTGTGCAAAATACTAGCGGCATAGGTTTGTGTGACCTTGCTCCTAGAATTGGATAGGTGGGCTCTAGCTAGCTTGGCACCTTAATTACTTAATTAGGATCTTTGCAAGGTGCTAGAGAACATAGATAGAGGGGTGTAGTCTTGGCTAGACCCATAGTTTTAATTCCGCACTTGTTTCGGTTAGCCGACGCGATTAAGTTTTAGAAAAGACTATTCACCCCCCTCTAGTCTGCCATCTCGACCCTATAGACTTACCCTCCCAAGTTAGCCAACACCCTGAGTTGGCTAAGCCGACTACCCCTTCATCCAGCCCGCGGGGGCTGAGCCAACCCGCAAAAGTCGGCTTAGCCGACTTCCCCTGTCGGCTAAGCCGATTCGTCATGGAAACCGAGCAAGAGACTTCCTAAAATCAGTTTTGGGTATATTTTTATCATGAGAAACTTGGAGAACGTGTCTTGGAGATGTTTCCTACTAGGATAATCCACCCCCTCTATATATAAGATGATCACGGCCGATTGAGTTCCCATCTATCCAATCGTCAAAAAACAAAACATATCAACTCCTTTTGCCCTAATTCCTCTCTCTCAACCCTTCCTGTTGTTCGCCACGTCTCCCGGCGAGATTAGTCAGCATCCTAGGAGATCCTCCATGTGCTACTCCCTGACGGGTCTTCCCGGGAGAAAGTTTGGGAGCCTTTTCAGCTAAGAACGGGCTCTACATCGGCCTTATCGGTCTCTAGATCGGTTTGGTCAATTACGCTGCATTCTTGCTGTGTTTCAGGTTGATCTACAACCTCTTTGGGCATCCAAGGCCCTGCTGGTGTGTTGGCTTGGATTCATCTTCAACATCAACATACTTTTTGGAGACTCCGCTGGGGAAAGCGAAGCGATCCAAGATTCAATCCAAGATCGGCATGGGAGGCGACGGTGATGATGCAGGTGAGAAGGGCGACAAGACTCACGTCCCTCATAGTGCTAACATCAACCATCCCGAGACCATTGACGAGCTTCCCGAGGAGCTGAAGCAACAAATGGAGGCCAACTTCAACGCCATTCTGAAGGCTTTTCTTCAGAGTTGCACTAAAGATCGGCGGGACAAGGTCACCCAATACAAGGAGCCGGATTTCAGCGAGTTGATCACTTCTACATCATCTGCACCCACTGCATCTGAGGTAAGGACTACTGAACCTAAATATGATGAAGATTCTTATCCTACGCATGCCAATTATGCTACTATGATGGATGATCATAAGAAAGTAATAGATAATAATCTTTTAGCTGCAATGAATATGATCATGGCTCATTTTGGCAACTTAGAAGGGAAAACAACCGATGGTAATCAATCGGGTGTTGCTTCTACTTCTAAGCAACCTGAATTTGGCATGCCTTTAAATTTTTATGAAAACCAAGGGTTATATGCAGTGGCAAACAAAGGCAAATCGGCCCCTTCGGCACTTGAAACCGATAAGGCTGGTTCAGCCGGTGTTGCTTCATCTTCACGGTTGGTTATCTATGATCAAAATTCAGCTCGAAATACACGAACCAATCAAAGATTATCGGCAAACTGAGCTTTGGCGGGGCAAAACATTCTTCCTAACCCGTCAAAGTCACCAAGTCAAGTCCCTATACTTGATAGTACACCTACCGCTCCCGCTACTGATTTTAGTGAAACTTTAAATCGGTTTAAAGAAGAATTGTCTAAATCGCTTGAGGAAAGTTTAGGTGTGCAAATCAAGCTTAGTAGGACTACATACCGCAAGCCGTACCCTTCGCATTTTGATTTCACGAAAGCACCTGATGGGTGGAGGGTATCTGATTTTAATAAATTTAGTGGTGATGATGGTAAATCAACCATGGAACATATTAGCATGTTTCTTGCATAGTTAGGTGAAGCTAGTGCCTAATGAAAGTTCAAAATTTTCCTCTGGCACAGCTTTTGCATGGTTTACTTCATTACCATCCTGCTCTATTGGTTCATGGGCTAAATTAGAAGAAACATTTCAAAATCACTTTTATAATGGTGCTCATGAAACTAGATTGTCTCACCTTGCATCGGTTCGTCAAGGGCGTGATGAACTTGTCCTTGATTTTTTCAAACGATTTAGAGAAATCAAGAACCGATGCTTTCATTTGATGATTTCAGAAAGAAATTTTAACTAATTTATGTTTTGCTGGTTTACATCCTAGTATTAGGGAGAAGCTTGAGCATTATGAATTTGTTAATGTGAATCAATTGCAACAAAAGGCCGTTTCGGTTGAATCGCGTCTTAAAGAGTCTCGTGATGCTTATAAGTCTAATCGTCAGAATGTGCATTTTGTTGGAGATTGTTCTGATGATTCTGATGTTGATAATAAAGAGTTTTTCCCTGCTGAAATTAAATGGCCAATAGAAAATAAATTGATTACTTGTCCTTCTCTCAAGCTGATTCAGAAGAATCGGAATGAGGAAATGAAACTTACTTTTGATTTCTCTAAATGTGACTGAATCTTTGATGATTTGTTAAAATTTGGTTATATTAGAATCAATTATCATTGCCTTCAGCTGATGAGTTAAAGAGAAGGGCTTATTGCAAATACCATAATTCTTTTTCTCATGCCACTAATGATTGCAATATTTTCCGTCGGTAGGTCCAATCGGCCCTTAATGAGGGACAATTGAGTCTTTCTGATATGCAAGTTGATAAAGCACCTTTTCCAATACACATGGCTGAAGCAGGAGAGCCCGCTGTTTTGATTGGTCCAGAGCAAGCCTATACAACTCAAGGAAATAATGTGATTATCGGCGAACCACGTGTAGCACCGAATGTCGAAAACAATTCAGGGCGCAAGTTGGTGCTTGAGAAGGATGATGAAGGCAAGAAAATGTTGAAGATCACCACTGGATCAACGCAATATTTGAGATGCCAGTGGTGGTACAAAATAGCATCGGCACAGCAGAGGTCGGCTAGGCCGACTCCACCAGCCGGCCAAGCCGACTCCAGCATGCAGCTAGGCCAATCGGCTCAGCCGACTCAGGGAGTCATCTTAGCCGACTCTGCCCCTAGTTCAGCCAAGTTAGCTGAGCCAACTACCCCAGTCGGCTTAGCTGACTCCCCTGGTTCCAGCAGCCCTGGCGCTTCCAATGTTCGTGTTTTGCGCAAGTTTGTTCCACAGCGGCCGGAGATTGGTACCTGGAAGACTAATGAAAAGAAGAACCTAGAAGAACTTGTGAAAAAGTAATGCACCTTTGACAGGCTCATGACCAAGTACAAGCAACAAAAGGTCGATTCCCAGAATTGGCCGTTAAAAAAAAGAGAGTCTACTCCACCTAAGCGAGAAGATGACAAGTTCAAGCAATTGGTGGTAGCGCAACCAGCAACTCCACCTCAGAGAGATGCTCCTCGTGTATCTCGATGGGGTCCCCCGATTCCACCTTCGGTTACGCCACAATGGGGTCCCTATGGAGTTTGGGTGTCGTATCCTCCGACGGCGCCTATGCATAGTCAGCAAAGGTGGGGAGAGCCTGTTGGTCAAGTTCCAAGGACCTCTGTGTTTAGCCGATTGAACAATGGTCAATTGAGCATCAGTGGGGCAAGTCAAGACCGTGTGATTACTTCTAGGACTTTGACTCCACAAGAATCGGGAAAGGTACCAATGCAGCAGGTTTATGTGCCTAAAAAGATCGAAGTTCCCGCCGTTCCCCCACCAAGAGCTAGGCCACAATCTGTTGTCACAATCAGCTCCATGGAAGCTCCTGTCATTAATCATGATGGGCCAATTGTAATTGAAGAAATTCCAACATCTAAGCAAGATGAAGCTCTCAAAGATGTTGCTGGAATTGAAGAAAAGAAGCGTGCCGAAGGAGATTCAAGTATCGACAACCCATATGGTGTCCTCGTGGGTTGAATAAAACTCAACGGTGCAAGTTGCAGCATGCCCGGCATAAGCAACAGAAGAGGGAGAAGCTTGCCAAGATAGAGGGTGAAGTCTTCAACCCCAAACATGTCGAAATCCCTCCGGAAGGTCGAAACGCCGCTGCTGCCGCTAGCCAGTCGGCTAAGCTGACTTTGTCTGCTCCTATTGCCCTGAACGCGCCAGAGTTGGCTAAGCTGACTCATGAGTTTGCTAAGCCGACTTCCCCTATCCTGGGTGCCTCCGAGGTGTCCTCTGATGATTTTGCTACTACCATTGCTACCCTGGTTGGCATGGAGGTTCCTGAGGTTCCCGACGAGGAGATGGTTGACTATGAAGCCACCCCAGAAAGAGGAGAGATCAATGTGGTTGTTTTGTCTGCCGATTACTACATCGTGGCAGATGACTCTACGGCGACAAAATTTAACTTCATAACGGAGAGCACTGTATTTCAGAAACCAGATGACTCCGCTAACCATCTCAAGCCGCTACTTGTGAAGGGCCATATCAATGGTACGTTGGTCCATAGCATGTTGGTGGACAGTGGGGCAATAGTGAACTTGATGCCATATCTACTTTACAAGAAGCTCGGTGGCACTAATGAGGAGCTGATCAAGACCAACATGACGATCAGTGGTGTTGGAGGAGGTGTTCCCATCCCAACCGATGCTTCTACGCTAGGGGGGCATGATGCTATTGTTTGCTTGTCTGGTAGAGACCTTTCTAGCTTTGAGTTTATTAGTGTTACTAGGCAAGGTTTTGTTCCTATATCTTTGAAGCCAATTGACAATCGGCTCAATATCATCATGTAATCATTATTGTAATGGACGCCAACGTTGAATGGTTAAAGCATCGTGTTGAACAATATCAGGCTAATAAGATCGATGCCTGTGAAGCTATTAATAATTTTGATGAGCTCGATAAGTTGGGCCAAGGTTTTACGTCAGCCGACCCTTTGGAACAAGTTGATATTGGGGATGGCTCTGTGCCCCGGCCGACATTTATAAATCAAAACTTAGAAGCCGATTAGAAAGTTGAGCTAATCGCGCTTCTCAAGGAATATGTTGATTGTTTTGCATGGAATTATACAGAGATGCCTGGATTGAGCCGAGAGCTTGTTGAGCATTGGCTCCCCATTAAGAAAGGATTCAGGCCTTTCAAGCAAAACCCTCGCTGATTTAATTCTATAATTTATGATAGGATTAAAGAAGAGATTAATTGACTGTTGCAAGCAGAGTTTATTCAGCCATGCAGATATGCGGAGTGTGTCTCTAATATTGTACCTGTTGAGAAGAAAGATTTAGGGAAGATCAGAGTCTACATTGATTTTAGAGATCTGAATAAAGCTACTTCGAAAGTTGAATATCCTATGTCTATAGCCGATATGCTTATCAATAATGCTTCAGGACACCGGTTTATTAGCTTTCTTGATGGTAATGCTGGTTATAATCAGATTTTTATGGCCGAAGAAGACATGTCTAAGACGGCCTTCATATGTCCTGGATTTGTTGGTCTCTTTGAGTGGATGGTGATGACATTTGGGCTGAAGAATGCAGGTGCTACTTATCAAAGAGCTATGAATTTAATTTTCCATGATCTAATTAGGGTGATTATGGAGGTATACATTGATGATATTGTGATTAAATCGGCTGCCCATAAATCTCATTTGGCCAATTTGCGTCTTGCTTTTGAGAGGATGTGCCGCTATGGATTGAAGATGAACCCACTCAAATGTGCTTTTGGAGTATCGGCCGAAAAGTTCTTAGGCTTTATAATTCATGATAAGGGCATAGAGGTTGATCCCAAGAGGATAAAGAAGATCAAGAAAGTTCAGGCGCCTACATGCAAGAAGGACTTGCAAAAGTTCTTGGGAAAAGTGAACTACTTGAGGAGATTTATTGCTAACTTGTCCGGGAAAATTATTCCTTTCAACCCTATATTAAAGCTGAAGGATGAATCTGAATTCACTTGGGGGGCAAAACAACAAGAAGCATTCAAAAAGATAAAGGAATATTTGTCAACATCACCGGTTCTTTGTGCACCTAGAAGGGGAGTTCCTTTCAAATTATATATTGCTGCCGAAGAGAAGGTAATTGGGGCTGTTTTGACTCAAGAAGACGACGGTAAAGAGTATGTGATTGCTTATCTTGGTTGTCTTCTTCTTGATCCAGAGACAAGGTATGCACATATTGAAAAATTATGCTTGTCACTGTAATATGCTTCTGCTAAGATGAGGCATTATCTTTTGTCTAGTACATGTGTTGTTGTTTGTCAGGCCGATGTGATAAAGCACATGTTATATCGGCCAATTCTTTGCGGAAGGATAGGCAAATGGGCATACGCACTAATAGAATATGACTTGACTCTTGCTGATTTTATTGTTGAGCATGGTATTGATTTAGATGATGAAGTCAATTACCTTACTTTTACTCTATGGAAATTCTATTTTGATGGATTGGTTTGTAAAGATGGCCAAGGTGTTGGTGTTATTCTTGTTTCTCCCAATGGTGCTGAAAATGGGATGTCAAGCCGATTAGATTTCTCTTGTACTAACAATCAAACCGAATATGAGGCTTTATTATTCAGGTTGATCATATTACGGTCCATGGAAGTAAAACATTTGAAGCCTATGGTGATTCCTTGCTGGTGGTATAGCAAGTTGCTAGTGAGTTTCAATGTTTAGAAGGATCACTAAGAGCTTGTCTTGATGCCTGCCTTAATGTTATTGACTATTTTGCTGAATTCTGAATTCGGCATATTTCGAGGCATGAAAATCAAAAGGCCAACATGTTAGCTCAACAAGCATCTGGCTATGACGTCAGTGGGCGTAATTTCCATATTCAAGAACAGCCGATGCATGAAAATTTACATTCTCCCCGTGCTGGTGCAGACCAGTCAGCTAAGCCGACTGACCTCATCGGCCTAGCCGACTCCTCTGATCTAGCCAAGTCGGCTAGGCTGACTGCCCTTGTCGGCCAAGCTAACACCTCCAAGTCGGCTAAGCCGACTGCCCCAGTCTGCTCAGCCGACTCCCCTATGACCAGCCCGGCCAATCCGCCCGAGAAGCTCCCAAATCGACCCAATGTAACTTCCAATGATGTTGGGGCCGATTTAGAAGATTGGAGGACTCCCTTGTTGAGATATCTACGTGATCCAAGTGTTAAGATTGATAAAAGTGTTCGGTGAAGCTTTTCAAATATGTGTTGCATAATGATGAACTCTATCAGAGAACCGCCGAAGACTTGCTGCTTAAGTGCTTGGGATCAGATCAAGCAAGAGTGGCTATGGGAGAAGTCCATAAAGGCATTTGTGGTACGCATCAACCGGCCTCAAAAATGAAGTGGTTATTGCATAGAGCCAGTTTCTATTGGCCTACTATGATGGCCGATTGTTTTCGTTACTACAAGGGTTGCAAAGAGTGCCAAAAGTTTAGAAATATTTAGCTTGTGACTGCTGCCTTGCTTCGTTCTATTATCAAACATGGCTTTTTCGTGGTTGGGGCTAGACTTCATCGGCCAAATATATCCCCCGTCTTCAAAGGGACAACATTTTGTGTTGGTTGCTACGGATTACTTTACAAAGTGGACCGAGACAGTTCCTTTGAAGAATATGACATACAATAAGGTAATTGAGTTTATCACTGAGCATATTATTCATAGATTCGGTTTCCCTCAAACATTAACAACGGATCAAGGGACATCATTTGTGTCTAAGGAAGTAAGAGAATTTGCTGAATTATATAAGATTAAGTTGTTCAATTCATCTCCATACTATGCTCAAACCAATAGCTAGGCTGAGTCTAGTAATAAGACTTTGATCAAGCTTATCAAAAAGAAGATTGAGGAAAATCCAAGGAGGTGGCATGAAGTTTTGTCTGAAGCTTTATGGACACATCGCATTTCAAGACATGGTGCTACCAAGGTTACTCCTTTTGAGCTGGTATATGGTCAAGAGGCCGTGTTGCCACTGAAATAAATTTGGATGCATATAGGCTTGCTAAACAAAAATGATTTATCTGCTGTCATGTATCATGATTCAATGATGGACAATATCGACAAGGTAACTGACATGAGATTAAAAGCTCTCAAGAAAATAGAGAAAGATAAAGCTCGAATTGGCAAGGCATACAATAAGAAAGTCAAGAGCAAATCCTTCCAAATAGGAGAATTAGTGTGGAAAACCATACTACCCATTGGATCAAAGAGCAATTAGTTTGGCGAATGGTCACCAAATTGGGAGGATCCTTACAAAATGATCAAAGTCATATTCGATAATTCTTATATGCTAGAGACATTGCAAGGTGAACATCTCACAAGAGCAATTAACGGAAGGTATTTGAAAAAGTATTTTCCAAGTGTTTGGTAAGAAACCTAAATGCTCTCTAAACAATAGTCAATACATGTATTGCCCTTAGAACAAAAATGGCCAATGTATACATCATCCTTAGTCGCTGAGCAGTCGATGAGATGGGTATCGTAGCTGTTTGGTTTTATTTTGATTGATCAAGTGTTTTCAGGTTCATGCATCATTCACCTGAAAACAGGGGGCATATGTTGACACTCAAAATTGTCCCAGGATGGTTTTGGGCACCATGAATAAGTTATAAACATCTTGGACATGTTTGGGGTCAGGTAGCGCGGTAAAATAGCGAACGAAACGCGCGGAGAAGACAGCGAGCCGCCGGCGAGCTAAGCCAGTCGGCTTCGCCAACTTGCCAAGTCGGCTTAGCCGACTTACCCCCCAGTTAGCCAACACCCTAAGTCGACTAAGCCGACTGCCCCTTCATCCAGCCCGCGGGGGCTAAGCCAACCCACAGGCATGGCCGACTTAAACCCTCCCCCCCCCACTCAGCTTAGCCCCTTCATCCAGCTCGTGGGGGCTGAGCCAACCCGCAAAAGTCGGCTTAGCCAACTTCCTCTGTCGGCTAAGCCGACTCGTCCTGGAAACCGAGTAGGAGACTTCATAAAATTAGTTTTTGGTATATTTTTTACGTGGAAAACTTGGAGAATACGTCTTGGAGATGTTTCCTACTGGGATAAGACCACCGCCTCTCTCTCTCTCTCTCTCTCTCTCTCTCTCTCTCTCTCTCTATATATATATATATATATATATATATATATATATATATATATATATATATATATATATATATATATATATATATATATATATATATGAAAGAATCACAGCCGATTGAGTTTTCATCTATCCAATTGTCAAAAAACAAAACATATCAACTCCTTTTGCCCTAATTCCTCTCAACCATTCTTGCTGTTCGGCACGTCTCCCGACGAGATTTATCGGCATCCTAGACGACCTTACTAGTCCTAGGAGATCCTCCATGTGCTCCTCCCCAACGGGTCTTCCCGAGAGAAATTCGAGAGCCTTCTCAACCAAGAATGGGCTCTACATCAGCCTTATCGGTCCTCTGCTGGTGTGTTGGCTTGGATTCATCTTCAACGTCAACAGAAACCATGAGTAACGACTGTCGACCGGCAAGGAAACCATGAGTAACGACAGGCAAGGAAACCCTGAGTCCACAACCACAATAATGTCTTTGGAAATGTTTCTCAAATCCATGTACTCCGCTAAAACTGATATAATTATACGATTTATAGAGGAAAAAAAATATCGGCAGAGCTGTACAGAGAGACTTCGCTGCACAGAGACCACATATACGGACCACGTTGCAACCATGAACCATCTTCCCTTGCCACCCTCGTGTCCCAAGCTAGTCTAAAACAACATTTTGCACACATGAAAATCGCTTCTCAAGAAACTTGATTGTGACTCCCAAACCCAGCGAACAAATCCTCAACTGATTGCTCCGGGAATTCATACTGCACAGCAAGTGACTACATCAGGGGGGGGGAAAGGCATTAAATAATTCAGGAATCTGGTGGAAAAGGGAATATTTCACATCCAAACATTATAGAAACTAAATGTTCTTGACTGCAAAGTGTATGGAAATAACAGATTAAAAAACTTTGAGAACAAAACCAAATATGCTTGGCAATCCTACTGGTCGAGCTAACATTTTGACTGCAGTTGAGAGTGTTTAAGGATGAACCTCAGAACAAGGGCAAAAAACTTGAACATATGAAGTATAGCCAATCATCCGCATGATGTGTATATGATTCTGATGATATCAAGCGAACCACAACTAACCTAAAAGCATCCTGAACTCTGGAACTCAATGGTGTGACAGATGAGCCCCATCCTGGGCGCTGCATGTGAATAGCAGTTCTGTAACTGTAGCATGAAACAGATGAGGCCCATCCTGGACTGTGAATAGCAGTCCTGTAACATGGAATCAAAATTGCATTCAGTATTTTTATTTATACATAGGGATCCCATTTATGAACTGTACAAGACAATGCTTCTAATCTAATAGTCAAAGAAACATCAAGGTACCTCACATGACATATGAATGTACTGGTGATTCTTGTTAGACTTGCCAGCCATCAAATCAGCTCAACTCAAGATACATGAACCATTGGTAAGCCGATCACAGCTGAAATGTACCCAACTCCTGGCCATGCCTCATAAGTTTGATAGTCTTTCCACCAACCCAGTGAAGGCGGTATGAAAGGTCAAGATTATGAAGCAATAACTTCAGATTATCCGCCTCGCCTAGTTCCTTTGTCTTCTTCTGGGGAGTCCAGAAGGCCAGAACCGTATGAGTTATATAATATGGCAGAGCAACAATTTTTTTTTTTTTTTTTTTGAATAGAGGCAGGAGCTCTGCAGCTCAATTAAGACGAAAGAAATTTATGTACAAGATGGCAGAGCAACAATAATAGGGGTATTATTTGGAAAGCAAAGGTGAGAACTACATATAAATATGTAACTGTAGTTTCTTAACGATTAAAGCAATCAAACCAGTAGACAACAAATGATTTAATAAGAAAATGTTAGCTTCAAAAGACCAAATGGAAGAGAGAAACTATGTAAACAAAAGAACTTTATCTTTCCAGAAGACTATTTTCTTCATATTCAATTCGCTTGCTTTCTGGAGCAAAATAGGCTGTTTAGGATAAAATGGATGCATGGTATTGCCAGTTGCTTTCCCAGTAATTTCCTTTTTGCCATCTAAAGTAGGCAAACCAAACCACTCTTAAAACAAAATTTACTTCTCCAGTTGGTTCCATCTTCAACTTGTTTTGACAATTTTAAAATTCATATTTGGAGCAAGTAAATAAACCAAATTAAGAATGCTCAACTCCCCCCAAAACAAATTCCCCTTATCTTTACTGCCCACATGCCCCTCTGATCTTCACCCCCAAACCCCTCATGGCCATCACTACTGGGATGTGGCTACCACTAAGGCATGTTTGGATGCGGCCCTGGCCTGGGAGCACCCGCCAGGCATGTGCATCCGACCCCAGGCACCCAAAATCGAACGCTTGGGAGTGATGCCTGGTGCAGCCAGCTTTCCCACGCTGCCATCCGAACATGCATAAGTGAAATTGAACAAAAACTCCATGAACTAATAAAACTAACAGGACTCATAACACGCAAAATAACACAGTAAAAATGTCTTATACAATATAATATCAGAGAAGGAAATAATAACAAATATACCTCTGACCTTCCATGTTTATCATGTCCTAAAATGCTAGAAATTATACTTAAGCGAGCAGAGTTAGGTGAAAATCCTTCCCATGGAGGAACATAGATAAGCTTTGTGCATTGAATAGGAGTAAGGCTTCTGCTCAGCCTCTCCCACCAGGCACTACCTAATGACCACCATCTTATCATCAATCCATTCTCAGAGAAGGCAACCAGACCCTACAAAAAAAAATGAAAAGGGTCAAGTTAGAAGCTTCAGTTGATATAAATAGAATTATGTTTTGCAACCACAATCATGGGTAAATACAATGAGCAATATGATTTAAAAGCCGCCGAGCTAGGCTTGCTGCAACCATTGTCAAGACGTGCTTTGCAACATCGCATCTCAATGTACGCGGACGATGTGGTTTTATTTCTTTGTCCAGATGCCGCAGATATTGCTGTTACTATGGACATCCTTCAGCTGTTTGGTGCAGCATCTGGGCTTAAGACTAATCTCCAAAAAAGTAACGTACTTCCTATCAGATGTGGTGAACAAGAAATTGAGGTTGTGCAGCAGCAACTCCCTTGTGCATTATCTGATTTTCCATGCAAATATCTGGGTTTACCCCTCATTGCAAAGATTAACAAAAGAACACATTCAGGTCATCATCGACCAAATAGCTGACCAACTACCGGGATGGAAAGCGGATTTGTTGACACGAGCTGGGAGGCGGGTTCATGTGTAGTTTGTTCTTACTGCGATGCTCATCTATCTTGCGATGGCCATTGATTTGCCTCAATGGGCCAATAAAGCGATTGACAAAATTCGAAGAAGCTATCTTTGGAGAGGGCGCAAAGAAGCACGTGGAGGACATTGTCTCGTGGCACAGGAGACAGTTTGCTGCCCAACTGAACTGGCTGGTTTGGGCATTTCCAATCTCAGAAACCTTGGCTGGGCATTACGTGCAAGATGGCTCTGGTTACAGAAAACAGAGCCACACCGTCCTTGGTCTGCATTGCCTATACAGGTACCGGTTCAGGTTTAAAAGCTTTGTTCAATGGCAATTATCTCAGATGTTGGCAATGGCGAGAATACTTTGTTCTGGACTGATAGGTGGCTTCATGGGCATTGCATTAAGGATCTCGTGCCTCGCCCCTTTGCTGTGATACCGTAGAGAAAGAAAGCTGCGTACTGTGCAGCAGGCTCTAACCAACCAGACTTGGGTCTCGGATATCCAAGGCACTCTCACAGTGGGGGTCATCGTGGAGTACCTTCAGCTTTGGGACCTCCTCTATGATTTTGAGTTACAGCCTGAGATGGAGGACTCTCACATTTGGAGATTATCAGCTAGTGGACAATACTCCGCCAAATCCGCATATGACAGTTTATTCATGGGGAAAATTCATTTCAGGCCGTGGGAAAGAATTTGGAAAACTTGGGCACCAGCTAAATGCCGCTTCTTCCTATGGCTTGTAGCACACAAGCGCTGCTGGACCTCAGATCGTCTTGCACGACGTGGACTGCCTCATCCTGAGAAGTTGCCACTTTGTGATCAAGCCGACGAAAGCATTGATCATCTCCTAATTGCAAGTGTATTCTCAAGGCAATTCTGATACTATATCTTGAGACAGGTTGGTCTCCCCTCTCTAGCTCCACAGCCAACTGACACTTCATTTGATGATTGGTGGGAAAAAGCAAGTGCAGCAACTACTGGTTTAACACAAAAAGGACTGAACTCCCTAATAGTTCTGGAAGCGTGGATAATTTGGAATCATCGCAACAGCTGCGTTTTTGATGGAGCAAATCCTAACATAGCTGAAACCTTGAAGTTGGCCAGGGATGAGCGTCGGTGGTGGACAATGGCAGGGGCCCATGGGCTATCCCACTTGACTGCCCCCGCCCAAGCTGTTAGTTGATTTGTTGTAGGTGCAGGGTCGCTTTTCTTTCTTTACCGGCGCGGATGTATCTTAAGAGTTAAGGTGTGTGGGTGTCTGTTGTACTAGAGTTCTTTACCCCCTCTTTCTTCTTAATAAAATGAAGCGCAGCTCTCCTGTGTTTTCGAGAAAAAAAAAGAGCAAGAGGATAGACTTAAATCACAAATAATATTTATAAGTTGCATATCTTTCTAGCAGTTGGCCATCTTAGCTCATTAGCTCCACTTAAGACATCCTTTAGCTTATCTTATCAGGGGGAGATCCATATATAAAGGGGAGGCCACAGTAACGTACACAACAAATACAAGTTTAATAGATGAAATCAAATGTACAACAAGGACAAAATGGAAATGCAATAAAACAGTAACAAGTGTGAGGTTGCTACTTGCTACTACTTCTGATCCAAGCGTTTTGAGTTTGCTGGGTTTGAAACACAAATTCACTACTAGTTCTTATGGTAAAACATGGTGACATGAGAAGAGAGACAAGAGAATGATCATATTGAATTAAATTTAAATGGCAACCATACTAAATCAATATGCAGCATCCATCATGTAAATAAGTACTTAAACATCTGTTAGTGTTCACAGTTTACAAAAGTAGGCTACATGGAAACCATAATAAAATAGTGTTTGAGAAAAAAAGGGGCAGAATAAAATCAAGTTTTGGCAAGAGGTACGGTAACACAAAATGGCATAAATGCATGTACTGGTATTAGGGATCATTCAAATGTAAGTGCCCACAAAAATGATACTAAACACTAACTATAGCATGCAATTTTTCAAATAACTTTGATGGAAACAATAAATCAGAACAAGTTGAAAACATCTTATAATTCTTGTTTAAAGCATTCTATAGTATATTTGTAGTGTCAAACCTCTCCATCAGGTGAGAAACTCAGAACTGATATCAGTATGGTTGCTGTTGTATTTGATGATCCTGCAAGTAAGCTTGGAAGACCTGGTGGTCCACTTGCATCAAGAATTCTTATCTTTGTGACACTACAAAGATAAAATGAAAAATAAGAAAAACAATAAGTAAAAATCAACCTGCTACACTTAAAAATTTTACGAAAAAGCATTACTATTATCAGATGAGTGATAATTTTATACTATATAAGAAAACATCAAGCACGAAATGCTTTGGAGAAAAGTGATCATCATAAACAACAAAAAAGCTTTTTCCACCCAAGCAAGGTTTTTTTTTCTCAGACACGCAGGAGAACTGCTTGTCATTGCATTAAGAGAAATAGAGTTTGTTACAGAAACAGGTTAGTCTTTGGGTTACATACGTGCCTTCTGAAAATATAGACAACCACAGCCTGAGAACTACCCAACTAGGTCCTACTAGCTTCAAGGAACATCAGTCCCTTGGTGCCAGCAAAACACTACTGATGCATCTCCTCTGCTAGTATCTGAAATAGCCATCACACAGAAGGGGAGCTGTTCCTGAAATCAATCTCATTTCTTTGTTTCCAGTTCCAGAGCATCCAAACACCAAGTATGAGTGTTGAGCCCTTTTCGAAGCTCAGTGCCTACCCTGCCTCTCCACTCCACCAAACCACAAACACCTTATCACTTGCCTCCCAAGCAAGTTGGAGTAGGCTAGAGATCAAACCAACAAGAGTTACCAAAGAAGGTTCTGTGTTGAATAATCTGTTGCTCTCATATCTGTCCTTGTCATAGTAGGAGCATTGTAATAGTGACTGCTCCCTCCCTTTCCTGGTGTCATATAGTAGGTAGTATAGCTATAGTGCCAAATAGTGGGCACCATGGCCCTGTGTTGACTTTTGTATGTTTTAGCTTCTATATGAAGGAAGTGGCTAGCTGCAGCCATCAGTTCAGCAGCCCCATTCACTTGTGCGTGTGTTCTCAACTCCCTCTTGTGCCTGAGCTGTGAGCTGCTGCTCACCTGTGCAGCGAGGCCGGCAGCCAACATTCTGTCCCAATGATTTTCTTTTGGGTTTCATTTCCATAAGAATAGATGGCTGTTTATGTTAGTCGCTAAGCCTATCACCAATCCTCCTTTTCCTGGGCTTGAAACAAAATATGTGGAGTTCAATGAACTAAAAATTATATATTTCAATTTTGTTCTCCTAGATTTATCTTAAAGATACTAAAATAGTTTAGTCTCTTAGTATTCTCAAGAAAACAATGAACTAAAGACTACCAATGAATTTCGGAAAAATCTATTGCCATAAGTCAAAATAAATATGAAAGAGAATCCAGGGGCACAAAAGAAAAAGGAACTTGGTGTAAGGCACATAAGCCCCCTAATTAAAAGGATAAAAAACGACTGAATCATATGACGTACGCTAGACAGCCGAATGGCAGGTCAGACATTTTAAATGGCCATACCCGTTGAGGATATTTCACGAGTCCATGTAAATTTTTATTTTTACAGGTCAAATGAGGGGTTCAAAGGATGTCACAGGGATTAAACTACAGATGTAGCATATCAGTTCAACATCGAACGAGAGAATATCTCAGTGCTACCAAACATTGGACAGATTCACAACCTGTCGCAGATACATTAGGCCTGATGCACAAAACAAAAACAAAAAAACAAAAAAAACATTCAGATTTTCCTATAATGGCCCTTTAACACACTTTAAGTTTCTATAGGAGAAAGAAAACAAAGGGGATCTAGCCAAATTTGTCCTTTCTTGTAAAGTCAGCAGGCCAAAAGGGCAATCTGATATTTAGATGGCTCATGTGACGACAAATTAACAGGAGAGAAAGCATTTGTATTATTTTCTGGAGGCCTACAGGATGTGGTAAACTGGTAATCATTTGGTAGAATAGAGGCACATTTAGAGAAAGAGAAGATGCATAAGGAAAAATATGTTTTAGTAACTTGAAAGCCTATGTACCTTTCTATGTCATAGACTCGAATTGTAGCATCATGAATCTCTCCGATAGCATCACCAACAGCTAATCTTGTCATTGACTCATTGAGAGCAACCAACGGAAATACACGTGCCATTTCTCTTAGAACCATCATTGAACTAATAATACAAGCTTTTCGCATTATTAGATTGCTTGGATCCATAGTGTGTAGAATGTAGCTGATTGCCTGCACAATTATTCAACTATAAGTACTACAGAAAAGTACATAGAAGAGTGTTTTCACTAAATCAATACTTGAAAGGAATCATTATGAAAAATGGTTACAATGCAAGAGGATAATTTGTGAAAGCTAAAGTAAGCCTGCAAAATAGATGTACTTAAACCTTCTTAACTTTTCTTTTACTTATACCATAGCTACTCGAAGTTGGATGAAACATAACCTTGTTTATCCAAACACATAAGAATAAGGTCAAGAACACCCCATTTCTAAAACTAGGATTCAAAAGTTTATAAGTTCCTGACATACACAGGTTATAACAGCAGTTAGTATCATTTACATATAACATATTTAACAATAAGACGAAAGAAAAACAACACAATGAATTATAGTACTTACCAATAAAGAAATGATTTACACATTTTGAGTAAGAAATTGAAAGATAGAGATGCATGATCACCATGTTCCATAAAACGTTCTTCAGATAAAATAATATACATTAGTTTGTGGTAGTGAGAAACCAGTTTTTGCATTGTGCAAAGATGCTTTCAAGTGTAATTGTTCAGGGTTTAGGACTTCTGAGAGAAAGGTTTGCAATACAAATTGGAGAGCCCTCCGAGCTTTGATGACAGTGACTACAGTAATTCTCTCAAAAGTTACAATAAGCACGAATAGGTAGAAACATTTCTAACCTTGTCGAGATAAGGGACTAAGGACTTCGGTGCACCTCGAACCACACGGATAATAGTTTTAAGTGAAGCGACATGAACAGGTGAATCAGATGAAGTAGCCCAAATTTGGCTCTCTATTACACCAAAAAATCCTGTTACATCAGCCATAGCCAAGCTTGGTAAAAGTGTGCCAACCAATGCCTCCCGCATTGTAACGGCCACTGCAGTTTTATTGATGGCATTGCTTGAAGGTGCAGTGCTTAGGCACTCAATTTGGAAAAGGGTATCACTCATAAAATGAGTGATCTCAGCACCCAAGCATGCTTTCCAAGTGTTTTCCATTCCCTCTGCTAGAAGTTCAGCTGCAGTTGAACTATATCGATCATTCATCGACATAACTAACTTGATTAGTTGACTAACAACTAAACTTGAAAGTTTAGCTTTCACAACGCTTGGATACCAAACAACCAAAGCAGCTGCAACTATGATATTTGACGCCACTGCGTCCTGGCTTGTGCCTCCTATCCATGATAACCATTCCTGATTTTCAAATGATTCCAACCATAAGATCATATTAGCAGTGTCACTATCATCTTTATCAACATTTCGATCATCTGCCTTCAACTCTCCATAATTGGATACAGAGGCACTCTGCACAGCAGAGATAAGATCATTCATATTATCTGATGAAGACAAAGGGACATCAGCCACTTTATTTTTGTTTATTCGTAGTGGTTGTGGAATAGAACGGGGAGCTGCACAGTGGAACAAGGAACGTGCAGCCATTCGCACATGTTCCGAAGGGTGTTGCCAAAAGCTCACCAGAAGCTGCAAGACATTTACCAGTTAGTTCCCCTCTTAAAACCTTCTATTTACAAGTACACAGCTGTGCTAACATGTTACCGTTGACACAAACCAAGTACTAAATCTAAATGAAAATATCATTTAATTTAAAATTCAAATTTTATTATAATTACCTGCTATCCAATTTGAAATAAAACCAAAACACATATTTTACATTAAAGGGTGTATCCTCAAAACATTATTACAAATATGAAATACGTGGAGAATAAATAGTTGTAGGAACTTTTGCAATAAGGGTCCAAATTGCGAAAAATTTTACACCCCTAAAGGTTTTCATAATTGCTTAGTATAAAAAATTAAATAAGTGTAATAAGGTTTAGTCCTAGACAATCATGACCAAGGTCCGAATAGCGATAGGTATCGTAGTATCGTACAGTGGTATCGTGGTACATTTGTAGAATATTTAGAGTCGTGATACATATTTGATTTTGTGCGATCCACTGCACAAGCTGTAAAACTATCGCTGGATTACATGAAAGATAAGCTTGTGTGTTATGCTGTTATTGGAGCTCCAATCTAGGATTCCCTTAAGATAAAAGTGGAGCTGTAAAGTTGTAGGGCTCACAGCCATTTTAGCTTCATATGCTTTAGTTGTTGGGTTTGTTTTTCCCTTAGCCGTAAAGTAATGCTTTTAAATTGAACCAAGCAGCAGATGCAATAGCACCGCCAATTATTCCCACAATCCCAGCCTTTGTTGTCTGTTTGTCTAACATTTGGTATCAGGAGCCAGAGTATCACCTGGGATGCCCACCTCGTCGAGCCATCGCAGGGTTGTGGCCGCCGTTAAGGCTGAGGCGCGAGGCGCGCATCGCTGCAGCAGAAGCGGCGGCGGCGGAGGCAGCCAAGACGGCCAGAGAGGCGACGGCTGTCGCTGAGGCTGCAGCGACCGCTGCTCTGCACGCCGAGGAGGACGACGACGAGGAACGCGCCCGTGTGTCACGGAGCCCTCACAGGCACTGCCACGTCTCGCCATCACCCGTGCGATGTCACGGTTGCCGTGGTCGGCGCAGGGCACCCTTAGCTCCTGCAGCGCCTCGAAGTGGGTGTCCGAAACACTCATGCCAGGGCCAAGCCTCATCGTCACGATGAGCGGCGAGGTAGAGGGGTCGGGCCACCTCCATGTGCAGCACATACAGGCGGTCGCGCCCGCGGTTGACCTTAGCAAGGAGGCGCCCATGCCGATCCCAGATCCAGAGTACTCCTCGGTTGATCTCCACCAATGAGCCACCTTCATCGAGCTGACCGATGGAGTTGCGGAGCGTCGGGATGTAGTAGACGCTGTGGAGCAGCTTGTGCTCGCCAGTCTTGGCCACGAACACGATGCTCTCGACGCCGCAGATCTCAGCAGCGGACGCCATCAAGCATGTCCAAGCTGCTACAGAGGAGTGTGGCCACAAGCTGCGAGTGCTACGCACCGACAACGGAGGGGAGTTCACCACAGCCAAATTCGCCACCTACTGCGCCAACGAAGGCATCCAGCGGTACTACTCCGCGCCGTACACGCCACAGCAGAATGGTGTGGTCGAACGCCGGAACCAGGCTCTGGCGGCGACCGCGCGCTTTCTGGGGAGAGGCAGTGATGACCGCCGTTCACTTGCTCAACCGATCGCCGACCACCTGGAGGGCAAGACCCCGTACGAAGCCTGGCATGGGCGCACGCTGGTGGTCGAACACCTTCGCACATTCGGCTGTCTAGCGTACGTCAAGGACCTGAACCACATTGCCCAAGTGAGAATTGGGCTGGTGCCCCCCCGCTGCTTTGGTTATGGGGACGGGCAAGGGGATTTTTTTAACCTCAACCTGAAATTCGCTCCCACGGGGAGTCGAACCCAGGACCTGAGGAGTGCCGCTGGGTCACCTAACGGTTTGAGCTAGGCGCCCTTTGGCTCAAATGGGTGTTCAAGCTGAAGAAAAACGAGGTAGGGGAGTTTGTCAAGCACAAGGCAAGGTTTGTTGCACGCGGCTTCTTGCAGCAGGAAGGGATCAACTACGACGATGTGGTCGCGCACCCGTGGCTCATATCGAGTCCATCCGCATCCTCCTCGCGCTGGCTGCCCACGAGGGTGGCGCGTCCACCACATGGACGTGAAATCGGCGTTCCTCAACAGTGACTTGAAGGAGGAGGTGTACGTGCGGTAGCCCCTGGCTTCGTCATCGCCGGCAAGGAGGGCAAGGTGTTGCAACTACGAAAGGCACTCTACGGCCTGCAACAAGCACCGAGGGCTTGGAATGCAAGCTGGACAGCACCCTCAAGGAGATGGGCTTCCAGCAAAGCACGCACGAAGCAGCTGTGTACCGGCAGGGTAGCAGTCGCTCCACCCTGTTGGTCGGTGTCTACGTCGACGACCTCATCATCACTGGCATGAAAGAAGCAGAGGTGGAGGCGTTCAAGGCTCAAATGAAGGCTACCTTCCAGATGAGTGACCTTGGCCTCCTCTGTTTCTACCTCGGCATTGAGGTGCGTCAAGATGACTCCGGCAATTCCCTCCGTCAAGCTCACTACGCCAAGCGCATCGTCGAGTTCAGTGGCTTGAATGGGTGCTACCTAGCCCACACTCCAATGGAGGAGCGGCTGAAGCTGAGCCGCTACAGCACGGTGGAGGAGGTCAATGCGATGCAGTACCGGCGCATCGTTGGCAGCTTGCGCTACCTGGCGCACGCCTGGCCAGACTTGGCGTTTGCCGTCGGGTACGTAAGCCAGTTCATGGAACGGCCACGGTGGAGTACCAGCGGGCCATCAAGCGGATTCTACGCTATGTCGCAGGCACTCTCGACTACGGCCTGCACTATGCAAGGCGTCCCAGCGCGGCACACTTCATCGGCTACTACGACAGTGGCCTTGCCAACGACATCGACACGAGCAAGAGCACGAGCAGCATGCTGTTCTTCCTCGGCAACTGTCTCGTGAGCTGGCAGTCCCTCAAGTAACGGGTGGTGGCGCTGTCAAGCTGTGAAGCTGAGTACATTCCTGCCATCTCAGCTGCAACACAAGCACTCTGGCTAGCTCGGCTGCTGGGCAAACTGCTTGGCAAGGAGGCCCAAGCAGTCGAGTTCAGCTGAGTTCAGTAAGTCTACTCTGGCACTGGCCAAGAACCCCGTCTTCCACGAGAGTAGCAAGCACATCCAGATCAAGTACCACTTCATGAGGACGGGAATGTGAAGGCCAGTCACATCAACACCAAGGACCAGCTTGCCGACATTCTCAACAAATCTCTTGGACGGGCAAAATTCTATGAGATGCGAGCTCGATTGGAATGGTTCACATCAAGTCGAAGACCACACACAAGGCTTAGGGGGAGAAATGAAAGATAAGCTTGTGTGTTATGCTGTTATTGGAGCTCCAATCTAGGATTCCCTTAAGATAGAAAGTAGAGCTGTAAAGTTGTACAGCTGATCACAGCCATTTTAGCTTCTTATGCTTTAGTTGTTGGGTTTCTTTTTCCCTTAGCTGTAGAGTAATGCTTTAGGTCTTTAAATTGAACCAAGCAGCAGATGCAATAGCACTGTCAATCATTCCCACAATCGCAGCCTTTGTTGTTTGTCTGTCTAACATTCCCACAATCCTCATGAAGAGCTACAAAGAGTGGGCATGAGAGAGAGAGAGAGAGAGAGAAACATCCAAAACCTCGCCGGAATTGCTAGCAGCGTCTGCATTATCCCAGAGAGGTCATTCATTCTCTGCCCTCCACTTCTCTGTCTCTGTTCCGAAGCAGCTCTAGCCTGCTACCTGATTGGTCCACAGTGCAATAAAAGCATCTTTGAAGAGCTCTAGCAAAATCCTACGATCATGCTGCCATAGCACGGTCAGTGGTTGTACGTCTGTTCCGCTGAAGATCTACGTCTCCTTGATGACTCAAGTTATGCTTACTCAAAAGAAAAACAGATAATGCATTTTCTGCTTAATAATACTGCTTGATAATATCTCTTTGGTTGTGTGCAGTTTTCTTTTCACAAATATCTCTTTATGTGTATGCCATGAACTCATGATAGTATTATTACTCTATCTTTTTCTTACAGAATGGCTACATATAGTTCTACTGATATTAAATTAAACTTAAAAAGAAAATCTAATAGGATCCTGATACTACGATGTACGATCCAATACTGCTCGGAGCTGGAGAAAAACGATACTACCTAGTATCTAGTATCCCAATCCTAACAACTTTGGTAATGACTTAGAAACAAACTCAACTAAGCATACTGAATTGACTAGTCAGATTATCATATTTGGAGCATCAACTAAGCAATTACAACCTAAGAATCAACACAGTATAACTTTATTTCATAAAGCCAACGTGACAGCAGGTCTCCAGTGTCCTTTTCTTCATATGATAAAGAATAATACAAGGTTGTGAAGTTGTAAAGAGTCACAAGATTGCAACAAATAGTATCTGAAACAAATATAACTGAACCTGTAGGGATGGAGGTTTTATATCCGGAACCTTTTCAGCAAAATGCCTTGTATAAAATGCTGCTAAGGCACTGAAACAAGACAAAAGTGAGTACAAGCATAATACAGGCATGAATTCAAGTTACACTGAGAGACCAGGCATTCCAAAAACTGACACAATTGTGAAAACAACCGTACATAAGAATGGGATCAGAACCGACTAGGACATGTCACAATACAAATACTGGTTATCGTTAACTGTTTTCTCAAATAATCATAGTTACTTAGGTTTTTTTAAGGAAATGTCCAATTTACTCATGTAACTATTTCATCAGTCCAGCCAACCCCCTAAAGAACTTTTTCCATCTCATTTCATCCATTGAACTAAATAAAGAAGTATATCACTTCACCCTTGAACAAGATTTTATTGTTCTTTATAAAAGTAGTAACTGTGCATCAGCAGGTGAGGTGGATGTACACCCGCAAAATGCAGGTTCGAGTGCTCTAAAACTCGAATTTGGCTGCCTATTTCTTCTTATTTACAATGCCAACAAATTACTCCTAAGTTAGTTACATTTTTATTTTATTTTTTTGGTTCTTTATAAGGTTCAAGATTTGAGTTGACGTTTTGCAGGACAACAAATGGCACCATGCCTATGTTACGAAATACTTTCATAATTACCCGTCTCAGGTCCTCCCAACCAACATAAATAGTCATGAAAATACTTAAAACATGATAGGTACCTAAATAAAAGCACAAGTGTGTGTGAAAAAAAAAATGCTCCCTGCCCTGAAACAACACTTATGTCTAATACTCCCTCTATTCCAAATTACAAGACTTTTTGGCTTTCATAGACAAATAGCTTTTGCTCGGCACTTAGAGATACACTATGTTTAGATACATAGTAAATGCATCTAGAAAAGCCAAAACGTCTTATAATTTGGAACGGAGGGAGTAGACAATAAGAAAAATTAAAGATGCTGCCACACCACCATTTTATGCATGCATCCTGCTTTTGTTACTAATATTCTTAATTTATTAAGACAACTATTGTCCCATATATTGACCGTCCAGTTGTAGAAGTTTACAACCTAACACATAGTCAGTATGGTTTTGCCCTATGGTAAAAAAATCAGACTTTGACAATAGCTTAGGGGTGTAAATGGGATTTACCCTATAAATTATAGAAGTTAGTAAACAGGCAGAACTTAGAAATTCCAGACTAAACTAGAATGCATAACAGGTTAAGATTACCCAAACTTGTTACAAACAAGGATATTTCAGATCATGGTGAAAAGTTTTGAGGTTGTTCTGCCAAATTTTGCTGCAACTCTAGCACACCAAATAAAAGGGTGCCAATCTAGAATTTTGAGGAAAAATGAATATGAATAGGAGAGAAGGAACAAATGAACCAATACCTACTAGCATTTGTACAAGAACGAGATAATGTAATCATGCGTTGAGCAAGAGACACTATAGACAGTGACCTCATGGCACAAAATTCAGCTGAAGACTTCCAAAGCTGAAACAGGCAAAAACAACATGATCAGACTTCACGTGTGCTTTGACATGAAATGGGATCTGTCCACAAAAGTTTACCTCAAGAGTGGCTTCTTTGCCTGGGAACATCAATGTAAATGAGCCTCTGTCTCCTACCACCCCAGTTGCTATATGGCAGCCTTCTGGCTTGCAAACTTGCATCTCATCTACAAGCAATTTGTCTAGCTCGCAATCAACATCCCATAAATGCAAAAAACAGAGGCTAAATCGAAGTAAACGCCCTTCCAGTGACTCTCTAGAGGGGCTATCCATTTCATGAACACGAGAAGGACTATCTAAAGTTCCAGGCTGCAATATTTCTTTAGGACTCTCACTATGGAGATGATCTTTCAACTGCTTATCACTATTGGTGTTTGTCATGCCTTGTGTTGACATGATCGCCGTGAGGTCAAACCTCAGACTTGCAATGCCAGGATAGGGGCAAGAGCACTTTATTGGGCACTTTATTTTTTTATTATGGACACTGTGGGAAGAAACAGCCTTTCCTGAATTGTATACAGAATTATCTCCATGGAATTCATGAGCTTCATCTGGAGCTGGCGTCTTCCCCTTAAAATCATATGTTGTAGGTGCATTTACAGTCACGGAAACTGTACTTCCGTTGTGAAGGTTGGTTGACACAGATGAAATATCATGACCATTTTTATCTGCATGAGACCGAAGGTGGCTCGTGTCTTTAAAAATTGGAACAAGTAAGGAAGATGCTGAAGTTGTTCCTCCTAAGATGCTGCCAGTAACTGCATTTTTCGATATACTACTGCAGAAATGCTCAAACGCTGACTGAGAAGCAGTGCCATTGATAACACGTTCTCGAGCACCAGTTTTCAGATCCCAAATATATAATCCACTACCTGCATCATTGCAAGAGTGGAGATTCTTGCATAAACAAGCTATGTACCCTTTTACTCCTTCCCAAGCTACCAATGATGCATAACCTGGATGGCCAGGAAACATCCTCTCAACACGCATGGTTTGAAGTGAAACAAGCGCCACAAGGCCATCTTCTCCAACAGAAAGGAAGCAGTCATCCCAAGGGTGGTATGTCCACGGAGGTGGTAGTACGATTTGCTTAACTGAACCAACATGATGATGCATCACAGAAAGAAGGGTGCCAGCATCTAGATCCCAGACACGAACTGTACAATCTAAACTCCCTGATATGAGTGCTCGGTGGAAGTTTCTAGAGTCAGAGTGGGCATGCATGTAATGTGCAGCCAAGCAAAGAATTGCTCCCTTGTGCCCCAAAAATAACCTCTCGGAAATATGTGGGTAAATCCCTCCACCACCAAATTTTGCAGCAGCAGGTGACAAGTTCAGAAATCGGATAACTTCTATGTCACCATTATGGAAACCATACACTACAGCATATGGGGCATAAGAATCCTTAAAAAGTACCATTGACGAAGACACTGTCCTTCCATACCTTTCTAACTTACTGCTGTCTGATGAGCACATCTGTGAAATCACTTCCAACCCTCGGATGGTATTGTATTGAGAATGAGAGGGCTCTGGCCTAAATTCTTCTGCCTGAAGGCCACCTTCTCCAAGCATTTTGCTCATAGGTGGTTTCTGTGTATTCACTGTTTTATTCAGTTCTAACTGATCCATAGACCACATGGAGACTGTTGGTTTCCACAACAATGACCCAGCGACCTTATAGAAGCGAGATTCAACCCTAACAAGACGCCGGTCTGACCGGCAAAATTTAATTTCCAGTCCCTCTCCTTGCATAGATAAGTTGCTAGGAATTTCACACACTGCCTCAGACTCAAAGTATGAGCTACCAAGAGCAACCCTGTACATTGTGGCAGCACCATTGTTACTCCACAACACCAAGTTCCTAACCACAACGCCGTCGTCCGAAACATGAGCATCCCATTCATCACTGCCGAGGAAAAAAGCTCCAGCAGTGCATACCTTGTCTACTGTGTTTTCGTCCTTGCAAAGAGATGTACCCAGTAGAGACACCTCACCGAGCACAGTCCCCTCAGTGACGCATTTCAACAAACATCTCGTCTTCAGCACCAACGCCACGTGCTTCCCATCATGAGACAATGCCAAGGCCTCCACCCTCTCGTCCGCCATCTCCACGCACGCGACGCAGGACACTGAGCTCACGCTGAGAGACCTGGGTGAATCCACTTCGACAGCCGTGCCCTCTGCCACGGGCATCACCTGCACGCGACCCTGCGCGTCAGCCAGCACAACGCTGACTGCATCATCACTGGCGCCACTAACCGCGATCGCCCTCGGAGTCCCGACCGAGAGGATCCCATGGAAGACGGTGTAGAGGACGGCGAGGGTACGCGCGTCGACGACCACGAGGGCTGATACGTGACGGTGGCCGTCATCAGGGGCGTGGCAGAGGATCGCGACGCGAGGATGGGAGGAGGTGATGGACGGGAGCGGGGCGACGAGGGAGGGTGAGCCGGCCCAGGGCGGGAGGGAGCGTCGGCGGAGGCAGCGGAGGGGTGCGGAAGTGGAGAAGAGGGAGAGCACTCCCGCGGTGCAGGCGGCGAGAAGGGAGGCCGGTGAGGGGAGTGGGCAGAGGGAGGTGATGGCGGCAGCGTGGGCGCAGAGGAGGGAAGACGGGCGCGGGGATGGGGAAGCTGAGGCGGGCGCCAGTGGCCAGTGGAGGACGGTGCCGTCGGCGGCGCCGGTGAAGAGCGCGGCCGGGGTTGCGGCAGCGGCGGTGACGTGGTGTGACGGCGGTGACGGCGACCAGAGCGCGGCCACAGAGTGGCACTTCATCGCATGGGGGGTGTGGGTGTGGTGGGGTGGTGATCCGGCATCCGGCGAGGTCTAGTCTGGACCGGAGGGGAAGAAGATCTCATCTGCTCGCTTTTGTCGCCGGACGGGGACCGAATTCCGGGATCCGACAGGACCGATCTGGGACTGGGCCGTCGGATCATCGCGCGGACGGCTGTGAATTGACTTGATCTGTTTGTCTCCCAGTCTGCTCTCTGCTGTGCAAGGGTTACCATGGAGAAGGCAAGAGTTAAGGGTTTGAGTGGAGATTTCAAGAAGAATGGAGAGGGGATTTTTGAGCTCACTCAAGAATGGAGATGGAGGTGATTATGTGCATTTCCTCCTTGAGATGATGAATCTTGGTTACTCCTTGATCATCTTTTCTTTCTCTTCCTTTTGTTCTCTTTCCTTTCTCTCTCGAGTTATTCCTTGTTCTTGAGTTCTTGTTTCGAGGAGAGGGAGAATAGAGAGAGTGGGGTGGGCGTGGGAGGGCTGAGCCAGCAGCTAGGTTATCTCCATTTCGAATTGACATGTGGGCCCAAGGTGAGAGAGAGACAGCTCACCCAAACTGATTGTACTAAAAAATGATCTCTGTCAGGAAATCGGACGGCCTCAGAAAAACAGACAGTCTGACAAAACACTGATTTTAAGATTTTGGATTTAGAGAAAAGAGATTGATATTGGGGGTTTTTAATTTCATCTCGGAAGTTGATATAAACCTCTAAGAGTTATAGAGCACTTCTTGAATGATATCTTGAATAATTTCTTTAAGTCAACTATAGAATTGACCAGGGTTGACACTAATTGACTTTAGCTTGATTAGAGAATAGAGAGTTGATAAGCGAATTTGGAGTCGTTGTCCTAGAGAGCATAGGTAAAGGGTTACCATAGGGGTTGATGATGTCAGTCTCGACCAGCAAAGGGATTGAGCTAGGGCTATGGTTCAAAGTCTCTCGAAGTTCCAAACATGTGATGAGAAGGTCCAACGGCTTGAGCCAAGGTTCAAGAGGGGTTTGGTGAGTCTTAGAGTTCAAGGGGCATGTTTAAAACGTCTCAGTTGGAACGCCGTCGGGTCATGACACTGCTTGTTCTAGGGAAGTGTAAAAATATATTGTGAAGAGGCTCACGGAACAACTATTGTTGGAAAAAAAAAAGTTCACGAGTCAATTTGATACGAAGCCTTACATACCTGCAAAGCATACAAGCATTAGAGGTGATAAGACCAGAAGCAATATTGTATGACAAAGCAATTCACAAATGAACCAATTTCATAAACAGGGGGAATACATCACATAATGTTGATCTATCCCAACGGCAGTAATCCACCAAACCATCAAGAAACAAATTTAGAAAGTGAATGGTTATTACATATGCCATCAGAAGCAAACTAGATACTGCAGATGTCAGTGGATGCCTAACAGTTGGTTCCCCTCCTACAGGCCATGACATAAATGAAAACAATTATTTTTCAAATTCTACCATTGGGTTTGTCAACTTTCATTTTTTTTATGGAATCCAAAAGGGATGACGACGGTTCTTTGCTGGAAGATGATTTTGCAAAAGGGTTAACTGGCCGCTGAGGCTCTGCTCGATTGCAGTATTCAGTGCTCATTTTTTTTGCACCAGTATGATCAATGCCTCCTTCCTGATTCTGGTCGACTACAGCTGCATTGGATGCTTCATTTCTGTGTTTCTTTGTTTCGCTGCTTTTAGGTACCTTGGTAGACGGAATAAAAGCAGATGAAACTTTTCGAGCGCTATCCTTAATTTCAATCCCTTGTTCTCCTGCTGACTTCTTTGGTTCAGTTGAACTGCATTGTTGATTGACAAGATTCGGTTTGGGTAATGAAGATTCCAGCGAACTGTTCCCATCTTGCATAAACTTAGAAGGTAGAGTTGCCTGAGTGGTCAGCACTGGTGTGTTCGTCATGATTGTAGCATTGGAGCAAAATCCTCCTGTACCAGCTATTATTTTATTGTTTAACATCCTCTCCTGAAACAGGAAACTCTACAATCATCAATTGAACAAGGTGCTCAAGACTGTAAAAATATTTTTACATTAAGTGTGGCTGATAAAATTTATAGATTAACTTCAATAATAAATTCCTAGTATGGTGGTTGCTAGATTAAGAGATTTGGAATTATAGGGCGGGTCCAACACTAGGGCAGGTGGAGCTCAAGGCCCCCTGACCGCCGCTAGGAGGATGGAGCTCCTGTACAGGTTTGCAGCCATGGAACCTTGTAAGGACTGCCTAGAGGTGGAACATGAGGGCAACAAGATATTCTGTGATTGGTACACTCTTGGCGTGTTTCTACAAGATCAGATTACATGAAGGTATGTTTGTCAAATTGATTAAAGAGTCATCAAGCCTGTGCTGAAACCGATCCTGGCTAAAAGTTTCCGCACAGTTCTTTTTCTTACATAGAAAAGCACATGAATCAAGTCTGGAAATTAGATAGGTTCAATCGAAGTAGAAATTAAGGGTTGTGGCCTTTACCTCAATTATGGAGCTGAACTTCTCTTGCAACGTGGGAAGTTTCAAGCGGGTCACTAGTGTTAGCGCTCCCTTCATTGACTTCTCTAGTGTCAATAATTTTGCAAGCTCAGAAGCTCGAACGAGCTTATCACCTTTGGGAAAACAAGAAAAGAAGACTATAAATTTCATACAACACCAAAATTCATAAATCCTTTTAGTTCAAGTCTGGTACCACTGCAGCAGATAGAGATGAGCCTCAAAATGCACTGGTCAAGTCCTGCCTCCATGTTGAATGCTTCATCATCATATGTGGTGGTGTCAAGGCCCAAAGCAGCCATTTCTTCCATTTTATTTTGAATCTGAGACAAAAAGCAATTTTAATAAACAGATAACAGAACACATATAACACAGTACAGAACTGAAAAGGAACAGTATGAACCTGTGACAGCTGTAACTTCCTCATCAAGAACTCATTTTCCAAACTGTTAGCCCCAAGGTCTGATGACACAAGGGGAAATGACAGATGAAGTATGCTTAGCACAGGCTTGGGCATCACCTAAGATCAGAAGCAGTCAAAGGGACAGGCCAGTTTGTAGCGAGGAAACTTTGTCCAAGTTTCCAACAGAGAAAAAAACCATTTGTTGGAACTATCTACACTTCAGAAGTTCCACTAATATGAAAGTAACTGAAAAGAAACAAATCATACCTGTGGATAAGATTGAGGGGTTTTGCATAAAATGCAGAATATATTATTTGCATCCAAACCGACCACCCAATGGCTTTCATCTTCGGATTTTCTTGCCTTCGCCGAACTGAAATCAAATAGAGTGATTTTCTTTGCTGTAGCAATAACATGAGTGTTTATCCAGTAGAGTATATTCAATACCTAAATAATGGAAGCCAACTTCCACCAAACTGACTGGAAAAAACCCTCAGTATTCCCTGAAAATTTGGTTGCTCATTTAAAACATTCTTGATATTGATATCACTGAAGCTATGTTAAACATTAACGTACTTGTAGGTCATACAAACCTTGGAATCATATGAACTAAGTTGGCCATTCTCACTGAATCCAAACCAAGATAATTGAGACAATGGTGTCAAAACAAGACGACCAGACATTGATTGTGCCCCTTCAGATATGTTGAATACTTTAACATCCAGCACCTGTCAGTATCAGTCACAAATACTTAGTTATTACAGCATCATTACTCACAGAAAAGTATGCGTAACACCAAAGGGATAGGTCACTACTTAAAACCATACAGCAGCTTTGGCACAACGTATATAAGGCCACTGTTAAGCTTAACACTAGAGCAAATTAAAATCCTGACAAATACCTGATCTCCTGAGGGAAGACAATCAGAAGCATGTGACACAATAGCTAGCTGGTCTTCATAACCTGCTGCTGTAACAACCGGGCCACTGACTGAGAGGATATGCATCTGCCAAAAAAATTTGGTTGATTAGTGTTTTGATTCTGCTTTGTCTTGTATAAGAGATGGGGTATCCATGGAGAGATCCATGCTTTGTCTTGTAACAAATTCAGAAGCAGATTACATTGCTTGCATTTAGAGATGTGGAGCGACTGTACAAAATAGAAATAAGAAGGTCGATAGCAACTGTAAATATGGAGATGTGTTTCTCTGTTAGAGGCGTATGTCATGGGCCTATCAGGCCTGGGTTGGCAATATAGCCCATTAGAATTAGGGTTAATTAGAGATAAGGATTTCTTGCTTAGGGGTCAAGTAAGCCTCTCTATATAAGGAGAGGAGATGTATCAATCTAATCAAGCAGGAATTAGAAGGAAAAGTCTTCTCTCTTGCTCGGCCATGGGCAAGGCCCCCGGTCGGTCCCCTCTCTCCCTCTCAACCCTAGCCACCACCATAACATCTGGTATCAGAGATGTCACCTTCTGGCGGGGAGAAAGCGTGTGGCAACCGGCAACCATGTCCCGCGAAGGACCACCACATTCCGCCACTGGTTGTCGCAGAGGTGCCTCCGCTGGTCGTCGCAGGGGCGCCTCCACTGGTCGCCGTTGCTACACGGCCGCCTTGCTGCCTTCTTGTTGCTACTCAGGTCGGCGGCAAAGACTGGCAGAGCTCCTTTTTCCTCGACGAGTTGAGTGGCTGCTGTTGTGCCAAGCTCACCCAGTCATATGGGGTTTGGTCTGGGCTGGTGGCTCGGGCTAGATGCGGTGGCCAAGCTACATGGGCTCTAGAGCTCTTGTTTTTCAGGACGTCAGGCCATTTGCCACATGCACCATGTGATCCAAGTGGCTGTACGTGTGCAGTTATTGTGTTTGGACGATGTCCACCTTCAATTGAAGGTCGTCAAAATAAAGAGTCCAAATCCATTTCAGAGTGAGAATAATGAAATGATCCGAGATGTAAAAGGTTTATTTTTAGGCGTTAGGTTCGTGTCAAGTCGAGCTGGTTAGATGTAGCTCGAGGACGAGTTGCTTGTCCAGGAGGGGTGTAGTGCTAGAGGCGTATGTCATGGGCCTATTGGGCCTAGGTTAGCAAT